ATCCATGGTATATTCTGTTATCATTTGGATTTGGAGGGTCCTTGAATCGACCGGACGGCGAAATCGGGTATATCTTAAATGGAATATTCCTAAATATTAAGAATACTGTATAAAAATATATATTTGTAGAAAAATAATATATATATATATATTGATATTGTATTTTATATATTTCAAAAATATTTTTATTAACGATAATATTGTAAACAATTAATCGATATATTTCTATAAATATATTTTTTTTATAGATTTCGAACATTTCTATATAAATATTCAATAAACATAAATAATTAGATTGAAATAGATATATTTCAACAAAATATTCTTAAACATACAATGCTTGTATATTTTTCAATAAATACTTAAAAATAATATCAAATTAATATAAATATAGTTCAATATTAATATAGATAATATCTGAGAAGGGAGCGGACGAAAGTCAACCTCTGGGTTAGGAGGTGCCCTCAGGGCAAACCTGGTCAAAGACTTGGAGCGCAAGATGAAATAATTGGATATGGGATGAAATTGATATCGCAACCACCTCGATAGGGGGTAGAAACAGGAAGTCGAATACATAGGGCGCCCTTTTTCGTATCTGTTCAGGGGTGTTTTGGAGGTAGAGTGGACAAAGAATAGCCGGAAGTGATGCAACTGATATTGGAGTCGTTTGAGTGCAAGATGAAATGATGGGTTAATATTGGACAATGAATATTTTTATCGGGTGAAATTGGGATTACAAGCACGTGGTAGGAGGTAGAAACAGAAGGTACAATTAAAGGGGAGGTGACCTTTTTTGTTCTGATCAAGGAACATTTAGGAGATGAAAAAGGATACATTCTTTAAATATATTATATGAATTTATTTATTGCGTATTGCTAATCAATGAACAAAGATAATTATGGGAAATCTATGGGCGAGACTATCGGCAGACCTTCGTGAGGAGAGAGAGATATATATAAATAGAACGGACAAAGAAGATCCGGAAGTGATGAAATGGATATATTTGTCATTCGAGATAGAATGGAAATAGATAATACAATACATAAATTTGGGACGGGACACCCATTTTCGTCTTGATATAGGAATATTATGGAGGTAACCAATTCCCTATAGTCCGGAAAAGATTTGATATGGTGTGCAAATCTTTATTTCAAATGAATTGACGATTAATTTTCGTGATTAAATATTCCCCATATGGGGTATCCTTTTGAATCCACAAATGAGATCTTATTATAACTAAAATATAATCTACAATTACAAACTATTTTCTTTCCTGCTTTCAAAACCTTTTTTTTACGTTTCCTTATTCCTTTCATCGATGTAAATTTCCACTCCTAAGCCCCTCATACTATTTTTAATTCATTATTGCCCATCAATTTGTTTTTTTCGTTCTTCCCCTAAATTCTAAATTTATCTTTCCAAAAAATCGTTCCCCTAACCACCCGTTCAATATTCCCTTTATCCATTCCATTCGTTCCACTACCTCAAGCCCGGCCTATCGGCTGGCTTCATAATCAAACCCATATTACTTATTACATATATAATCTTTAATTCAAAAATATATTCTATTCAATTAAAAATATATATATATGCTATATATATAATCTTCAATATGTTTTCAATATCCAAAAAATGATATAAATATACATATCAGACGAATCTAAGTATTCCTTGTCAACAAAAAATATATGAAATGCGAATAAATCTATTTGTTCATGCAATGTGCCAGATGCCAAATTGGGTCGTTCCCTATAGAATGTGAAGAATTAATCACTTGAAATATGATGTCATGATGGTATCATTTAGGAAGCATCGGTTGTATAGGGTTTGCCGGGCTTGCCATGTTGCATTTTGATTGCTGCGCGATTGTGTTTCCAGTTCGGGGCTTAAAACTGCGAGTGCCTTGTGAAAGGCTTATAAAAGCAAACAACAAAGTAGCATCTCCTTTTTCGATTTAGTATTATCTGAAATGGAATCCGAGGAGCTGGATTCTAAGCTGGTGCTCTAACCGTGACCTGCTTTCCCAATACTTTGTTTTTTCTTAGCCAAAAATTGTTACTTGTATTTACTCCTCAATTTCTTCAATTGTCTATTAATATTCTTCATAATTTCCTTTTAATTTTCTCCATCATCTAGGAATTTATTTATATTTATAAAATCTTTTAATACCTCCTTATTTTTCTTTGCTCGCCTTATTATAAATACCAATAAGAAAATATTGCAATCAAACCAAATAAAATTGTTATTCCATTATATAGATTGTAAAAAATAACAACTACAATTATAAATATAAAAGATCTACATAAATACCCACAATAATCCTAAATATAATATCCCCCACAAAGGGCACCAAAATATATAAATCTACAAAATATAATATCGTTTAACCCTATCCATTAAAATTCCCTAATTCCACGATATAACAACCCAATTATTAAAAATAATTCATCGATGAAATCACTTAACAATGGTATAAAAATTCTTACAATATTACCCATTAAAATTTAGAATTATTTATATTAAACAATTCATTAGATTCCAATTCATAAGCATTAATAATAAAATAAAAATAATAATCAAACCAATCTTAACTATCGATTTCCAAAGATGTCTTTATTTATCTATAAATATAAAATTATCTTCTATATATTTAATATTCCAATATTTTTATCAATTGCTCATATATTTCCTATATTATTAATATCATCATAAATTTAATATTTAATTAGTTCAAAATCAAAATAATCGATATTATATATAGAAAAAAAATCCCATTCCCCTAATATAAACAAATATAAAAATATGCTAATATATTAAATAAATTATTTAATTAAAATATAATAAAATAACAATAATTAAATATAATAAAATTTATCCTTATTCAAAAATTTAAAAAACAATTAAAACATTCGCTAAACAAAAAATTACTATACTTATAATAACAAATATCTTTTCTAAATAACTAAACTTAAATAATAAGGAATCATTTATAACAATAAAAAGATAATTAAGAAAATATCAAGGAAGAAATTCATAATTTACATTATAAATTCTTAATATTGGTGGCTCGAGTTGGGTTTTAATGAATAGATTTTATTTTTTTAAAACGTTCTAGGTTTACATAATATAATTTATGCAAAAGTGGCATCCATCCAAGCCAACACACAATTCAAATTCATTGTAAATCGTCGTCTGCCCTCATAAATAACTCATCCCGGAAACTAATTTCAGCCTAACATCGGCTGCAGAGAAAAAAATGTCGAAGAGCTCTCACAATTGATCTTTTGCGTGCAGTGCCTGTGCGAAGGTTGCCACTTAATGGATCTGGTGGATGCATTACAGGTCTGAGTGGGACTCGCACACCCCACTCACCCTCGCTCCAACCTGCAGTCAAATCATGAGTTTCATGGCTTGGTCCCCGGAATTGGGACCGGGGCTCTTCCTGATCATTGGGCGATTCGATCCGAGAGGAGCTTCAACATAATTTTTGTCTAACAAACATCCAGCAACATCACCTCCAACATCACAATCATAGTTCATAACCGTTACTGCCTGGGGATGGGTTCGATACCGAGGTCAATTGATACAGCACGAGTCGCGTCTGGCTGCTTTTTTTCCAAAGGAAACAGTGGCAAGTGTACGTGCAGTTCTCGGCAGTGGGCGAAAGTGGTGGTACCAGCAAGACCCTTTGCTCAACCATCGCAGGAATGATCACCAAGTGCACCTTCCTCGGCTTGATGGGCGAGCAGCTCCGCCAACACAGAACCTTTTGAAGCTTGTTAGCTTCAACTGCAAGAGCCTTGGCCACAGCAACGCTCGTCTGGCTGAAATCTCAGCAGACTTGCACGCCAAAGGCGTTCAAGTGGCAGCCCTGCAAGGCACCTGCTGGAAACATGACCTACAACGAAGTGAGTGGACAATCAAGAGCCGAACCGGAGAACCTCTTTTTCACTGCCTTTCCTGGAGCCGATCCGCTCGGGTTGTGCAGACAGGTGTTCTTTTGCTTCTAAGCTGCAGTTGCTTTGCGACAGAACATATCCGAGAGCGGTTTGGCCCTGATCAGGCTTGCAACACTGGCAGGATAGGCGGGGTGCCAGTAGTCGACAGGAAGAGCGCCCAACCTCATGACCACACGTTTTTGGTGGCCTATGCTCCTCAAGAAAGTTCGCCTGAGGAAGAGAAGCAGCATTTTTTCACACAACTGCAGCAAACCATCAGCATACAGCCTCGTCGAACAAGCATCTGGCTCCTAGGAGATTTCAATGCACATATTGGACAAGAACTGTGGTCACGAGCTGTCGGCCGGTCGCAGCCAGAGCAAAGCAATGACAATGGCCACTCACTCAGCCAAGTTTGTGTTGCGCAACGCCTTGCTCTAGTCAACACTGGGGCGAGTGAAGCGTTGCAGAGTCAACAAACAAATTGGCCATTGGTGCCATCCAAGAAACGACTGCCAAACGTAATGGCTGGCGCCAAGGCGGCAATGAAGAGATAGAGGATGGTGGACGCAGACTTCTGCATGTTCTCGGGACGGAAGGCATCTGTCCAGTCACTCGCATAGAACGGGGCACGGCGCTTCAAGTCAGCCCACAAGCCACCACCAATACGGCCGGTGAAATCCAAAGGACCCAAGTCCTTCTTCGCGCTGGTCACAATCCATCCGGAATGGTCACGGATCACTGCCTCAGCCTCAGTCATTCTTTCTTTCGAAGTGTGGAGGTGCAAAAGAGATGATGCAGCTGCTTTGAGTACTGAAACTTGAGCCACAAGTTTCCTGAGTGTATTTCTTCGGAATTGTCTTGGAACTCGGCCGTCGACTGACATCCAATAGAATTGCACAACAAATTCATTGCGGAAAGGCTTGATTAACGCAAGTGGTTACACTGGTTGCCTCATTTATCTCAGTTCTGTCAGAGTCAATGCATGTAGATCCGGAAAGTTTGGAGCGCCTATCCCAAAGAGTAATCGATGCTTCGCGATCTATTTTGAGCCTCTGCACTTCACTTCAGCACAAGCAACTCACCTCTTTGAATTTTTCGCCTGGAAAATTGCAACCAGTTGAAGGGTTGCAACAGCAATTTGATCATTCTGGTCTATTCCCACATATTTTGCAGAACCGGTCGTTGGGCTTAATGCTCCTTGGAAGTGGTCTCTCTTCGCGTCGCTTCAAAGGCCGCGGCGTAGCCCGGACCGATGCCACAGGCCGTGCATCTTCGAAAACGACCTCCGGTGAACGTCAGACAACTAGCGATGGCCTCCAACCTAATAGCAATGGCCTTCATGACGAAAACAGTGCAAGACTTATGTGTAAGAAGGTGTAAGATGTTCAACCATGCCTTTGGACAGAAGGTGCGCCAACAAAGAACAATCAACCAAATATACAAGAATAGACTAGACAGGGTCATGTGAAAGCAGCGTGCTGTACCGGCCCATGTTTGTTTGAAAAGTCAACTCCCTTCTCCTTCATCCTCAGGTTATGTTCGGTTGTTGGGCAGTGTGCTTCCTTTTCAGTACTGTTTCCATTGAACATTATCTAGAAAGGTTCAAGGGTGCACCTTGCCTCCACATTGCAAGCACTCTTTGGTTTCTGAAGGCTTTGACGCAAGATCTGGCCAACCTCCGGGATGTTACGATCAGGCACTCTCAAATTCTTCGAGTGCAATCAACACATGCTACGACGTGCTTCTTACTTCATTGTAACTTTGGCATTGCTCAGGAAACAGACCGTCTTTGTGCACTTTGAGCTTATCTCAACGCACTCGGCTCAAACGACGGCTCGGGCAAAGTCCAAATACTTGGAACCTTGGGTCTGACGCGCCTGCCCTTTATTCAAACTTGGGGTCATACTCAATCATGGCTTCTCACTAGCCATTGGCCCTTTGGCATGTGACAAGAACACTGCAGTAGTTCCTTGACTGAAAGGTAGAACTGTTGGCGTAAACGACACACACACGCCGAACTCCTTGAAGTCAATATGAACAAATCAAAACCCGCTACTACTAAGCTGAATGTTTGCTCGTCCCCCTGATTTTCATAAGGCCTTCGGAAAGAAAGCAATGCCCTCGAAGGCCGTGGCCGCCTTGGACATGGAGCCAGGATCAAACGTGAGTGGTATGAGTTTTCATGTCATTCCCTGACTCAAAGCGATGGCCTCCAACCTAATAGCAATGGCCTCCAAACTTGAGTGGTTTCAAAGCCAAAGTGGTCTAGCGGAGTGGTCTGAGGCTCGGCAAAAAGCCGTGGGCCATCTTGCAGCACGCGGGTGGGATCTGCCTACCAATCCGGCAGCTTCATTCACACAGTACTGGTGACCAAAGTCTTCAAAATGGCGGTTTAGGCATCAGTGGATATTGTGTCAGTTGTATGGCCAAAATATTGCACTCAGCCCTGCAGGGTTGATTTTGAAGATTCAAGGAGCTTGCAATTTGATCTCCAGCAGTGACTTTTCATAACTGACGAGAACAAGGTTGAAGTGGAACTGAGCAGGGTTCAAACGCATACATAATGTGCAGCCTCTTGACTTATGCCACTTGAGTCAAATTCTCAAACAGGAAGTTGATAAATTTGTCTGTTGGCTTGTGCGGCCCGTGCTCTGTGCAAGGGGCTCAAGCCATTCACTGAGCTCATACCCTCCTTCACACGAATGGGAGCTCACTATCGTTGCATTAGTTATCTCGTCAGTGACTCTGCAGCCATTCTGTCTAGGAACCAAATCATTAAGTGCGAGCAAGCGGGGGGAGCTTTCTTGAAGACGCACGAGCTATCCTGCGTCCAGCTACTGGTTACTAGAAGCTAACTAAGCCCAGTTTCTCCCCTTACTTAATTGAGCAACCGCCTACTTAATTGAGTAGGAGCTGGCTTTAAAAAGGCAACATCCTGAAAGAGCTGTGTTTGTGGATTCTCTAAGAGCTGGTACCTTAAAAAGTACGGTCTTGGAGAGCTTGTGGTCAGCCTGGAGCTAGTCTTCGCATATCGATCGATCTTTTTGGCTAGCGCCTGCAGAGTTCCAACATGTTCCAACAGTCTATCTTGCAATACATCGGCTAAATGCGCGTTGACCTTGCATCAAGTTCGCATCCATCGTGCTGCGAACACTGGTTAGCGCAGGTACGTTGGATCTAGGAAGGCTGTGGCTTTTCCTGTCCTTCTTGTAGTCTTTGTCGGCCAAAGTGCAGGGCCAAAGTGGAAGGAAGTGCCTGAAGCAAACCGATGGTCTTCATGAGCTGGGCTGTGGCAAGCTTTTCTTTTAAGCTCATGGCCTATCTCTGTCGCCAAAATAGACTTCAAGCTAGCCTTCCTACAGCTTGATATGTTCTTCTCCTTCTTCTGCTCGTTTCTTTCCTCTGTCAGCAAGAGAACCCAAGGCTTTGAAAGCCGCCTCGGACTGCTTGCGTTTTGTCCTTTCTTCTCTGAATTCAGGGCTGAGAGGGATTTGGCATGGCACAGAGTTTAGCACCTCTTTTGCATTGCTGACATCACCATAGTGCCACCAGTTTACAGTTCCATCTGGCACATCTGGTCGTCGATGGGCCGGTCGAAGTCTATCTATGGTTATTGTGTGTTGTTTTTTCTGTGGTGATGGTTCTCTGGTTCACCTTCGCAAAGCTTCTCGTTCCCGATGAGCCTGTCTTGAGCTACTCACTTGGGAAGGTTGTAGGGCATTGGGCACTCCCCGACCAGCCTGGGGCCTAGGCTGGCCGTGGTGAGCACTTGCTGGCAAAAAACCTTGCAAGATCTGTGGGAGCTTGTTGCTCACAGGTGCTCATAGTAGCAAGAATGCTCCGTTTGTAGCGATGCCAGGAGCCCCTAGTAGCTTCTTGTTACTAGAAGCAATTGAGTGATTGCTTTCTACTTTCTACAATCGGTGGCACTTTCCGCGCAATTTGACCAAATCCATCGATTGTCGAGCTTACTCCATCTGACCTCAGCATGGACCAATCTAAATGGAGCCTTCACTCAACGTTCTTGGAAGACAAGACGTGGAGCACTCAACTAGCAACAAGGGCATTACTACTAGTAACAAGTGCATCGCTACTAGTAACAAGTGCATATCTAGTAGTAGCTAGAAGCTACTAGTAGCGAGGTGCGTTACTATGTCTTTTTGTTTAAAAGGGACATTGCGACCATCTGGGGTGGGCCAATGGACCTCAGGCTGTGCGACACATTTACTTGCAACCTGCTACTAAAACCAGTATATAGATGTGCACAGAACATGCACATCATGCACTACATGCAGCTGGCCACCTCTTTGGTCAAGTCTTTACGAACACTTGAGATTGCTGGGTACTAGGCGTTTCTTGGCAAGGGATGAGGGTGTCCCCTATCGAAATTCAAAGCGCTATTCCGCGCCTTCACAGGCTGCACTTCATCTTCTCTGCACTCGCCCCAGCGTTGATGACAACGATGGTTGCAACCTCGACGGGCTTTGATGTGTGCTTGAAAGCTGTTCGTGCCACGAAAGCGAAAACAATGGAAGGGAGAAAGGGAAAGAAACACGGATTGGAACTACTTTGATCTCGGTCCGCTGCATCTCTCTTCACCTGATGCGTTGCGCATGGCCACTTCTGTTTGTGCTCACCGCCCGATACCGCACAGCGAAGTCTGCGGGATGGCCTTCCCACAGTTCCATGACCAAAGTCTGACGTCGACCAGAGGTCACTGGCTGAACACAGTGCGCCTTGTGCCTCTGAGCCAAATCAAAAACAAACACTCAGATTGGGCGTTCTAAGCGCCTGGTTGGGATTCCAAAGGACGCAATCCTGAACCTACTGAGTGCCTGACGAGAGAAACACCAGCGCATCTCCTTTGCCAAAGTGATGAGAACGTAAGGTGTCATCACCTTGGCCAGCAACATGCATATAGTAACAAGAAGCTA